ATGTGCCCAAAAGTTTATCAAGATAATTTCGGATGAAGAAGTGTTCAATACAGAAGTTGTGCGTATCATCAAGACGGTAAACTTTGGTTTTGGAGTCATCGTCATCAGAGATAGTATATGACCTGCAAATTCACTACAACACTCGGATAATTCAGTCTACCGCAAGACCGAGTCCGACTGGAAGGTAAAAACGACCTCGAAAAGTATTCAAGATGGCTTTATTTGAAAAAGTGGTCAACATGAGAGTTGTTCGTATCGTCGAGGCGCACAAGTTTGATGTTTGGGCCATCTTGATCGGAGGTCATATGGAGGCTCGGCGGCCTGCACAAGGAGGAAGACAGAAGTTGGGCCAGATTCAGACTGAATCCGAGTTGGAATAGAACTAGGACTCTAGGACGCGAATTGATGTAATTTTTCTTGTAAGGAAAGCCTAGATGAATCCTTTACTTGTACGGGAAGTCCAGCCGCCTCTTATATATGTTGGGGGTGACGGCCGATTGAAGAACACACAATCGAACAAATCAATATACTACTTTTTCCTGTCTACTTTTTATCTCTCCACCGTTTTTCTCTCTCGTTCTTCGCTGTTCTTCGTGTTTGAGAGCTGCGAATCCCGAGGCTCTAGGGGCGAGCGAATCGACCTAGGGCAGCCCATAGCCGCCGCAATCCCTGACGGGGTCCCTCCCGGGTGCGCGGGGTTTCGGGTCTGCAAAAGCACCCGCCGACTGTCTTGCGTATCGCCCTGTCGGTCGGGTCTCCTTCGACGTGAGCTGCGGTGCATCACCCCCGGCGTCGAGGGTACACGTGACGTGTTCGTGTGTCAACACCTTTTGAACAGACGAGTTTCCGTATGAAACCCTGATACTTCAAAAGAGATTGTCCGTTTTGTACACGAAGTGCATCCAGTTTTTGCCGTAACCCTCTCTACTTTCTTGCACATGCTATGTGGATGAAATGATGATACCATGCAAAATGAAAATTAACTAAAAAACTTTTATAAAACTCTAATAGCAAAAGGAATGAACTAAAAAGCTTTTATAAACCTCTAGTGTTTTTTAAACTAAAATTATATAAAATTCATGCCACTGAAATTATCAAAGTATTTTGTGTTCAAAACATGAAAAGTAGGCAGAAACAAAATAAACTTTAATAAATAAGTTGAAACAAAATTAAATAAATTAAAATTTAATAAAATAAATAAGTAGAAAACAAAATAAAATAAATAAGTAGAAACAAAATAAAACAAATTAAAATTTAATACAATAAATAAGTAGAAACAAAATAAAATAAACTTTTATAAAATAAAGAAGTAGAAAAAAATAAACTTTATAAAAGTAAAATAAATAAAAATAGGAACAGTAATTTTTTTGTTGTAAGTAGAAACAAAATAAAATAAATAAAGCAACAAAAATAAATAAAAAAGTGCCAACTACTGGGCCACCACGGCCTGAATACGACTAGAAACCTTACCATGGGTCAGGATTCAGGCCCGCAGAAGGCCTAGTAGGCCTATCATGCATAGCAGTGACAATTAGGCCCGTAAGCCTGCAATCGAGAGGAGCTCAGGAGGGGTGCGGCAGTGGGGCTTATAAACCACTACGCGCCCCTCTCAACTAGCGAGGTGGGACTAAAGTTTTGGCCACGGGCAATGCGAGGCCTTTGGTTCCGGTTGGTGGCATCAACCGGTACCAAAGGGGGGCATTCGTACCGGTTGGTGGTTCCAGCCGCCGCTTCCCGCCCTTTGGTTGCCGAAAACAGACCTTTGGTCACGGTTGGTGGCACCAACCGGAACTAAAGGGTGCATTGGTCCCGGTTTATGCTATGAAACGGAACTAATGCTCTGGGTATATAAGCAGGACTTGTGTAAATTTTCACTTCTCATCTTGCAGTTGCCACCCCGACGACGCGGACGACATCGATGCCGCCAGGCTGCCGCGCGCCCCCGTTCGATGTCTCCGTCGTCGCCGTCGCCCTTGCCCCGGCCTCGCCACACCCTGCCCTGTCCTCGACGCGCCCTGCCCCGACCTCGCCGTCGCCTAGCCCTGCCCCGACCTCGCCACGTGCTGCCCGGCCCGACCTCGCCGTCGCGCACGCCGAGCGCCCTGCCCCGACCTCGCCTCATCTCACCTGCAC